CCTCTGTCCTCCACCAAGACTCACTGTGCCCCCTTCCTTGTTACTGAGCTCCTATTTCCAAGCAACGATATGTTTCCCTGGTAAACTTTATCCTAATGTAAAACTAAGGCTTCCTGGCCACCCGTGTAACAAAAAAATGGCTTTCTCCAGAGTATGCTCCACCCTATCGACTCATTTAAAACTATGACCACAAGTAGGTCTTGTGACCCAGGCAAATGGGGGAAGTGGGTCCTCGCAGAGCTGAGAGGCTCTTTGGGGAAGGTTTTGTGGTATCCTGAAAATCAAATGTGAGGTAGCTACTTCCTTACCAGTAAGGGGCCAGCTATGTGCCTAGAGCCGACCCTGACCTCATACTTGTGTTTTTCTGCTGCTCTGGGGGTACCACTGGTCATCAGGGAGGGAGCACGTCCAGAACTCACAGGCTGATACAGGAGGACCAGGGATTGGCCTGCATAACGTGTGTGTCTGGCTGGGTCATTCTAGTGTTTCTTGATCTTTTAGGAAAGAGGATACAAATAGAAACATGAAAATAGTAATTTGAAGAACTTGTATAACAAATTACAAAATAATACAGATTTCTAGAAAGTGCCCTTTGTTCAGACAAAATCTGCCTTCTCCTAGGAGAAGAAGGTAGACAGACAGACAGCGTCGGTACTGGTGACGCGAGGTGACGGGGATAAATTGGAGACCTGCTTCAGCGGGGTGCTCTGAGATGGCCGCTCTTGCATTCTATGTTGTGACGCTGTTGACGTCCAAGAGCTGATGGGAGATTGCTGCTGCTCTGTGGACCTTGTGCTCCCATGTCAGAGGGTGGGACACAGGACTGTGTGGTGTATCTCAGGATCAGTCTCAGGGCCGTGTGATGTGTGTCAGGATCAGTCTCAGGACCGTGTGATGTGTCTCAAGATCAGTCTCAGGATCAGTCTCAGGGCCATGTGATGTGTCTCAGGATCAGTCTCAGGACCCTGTGATGTGTCTCAGGGCCAGTCTCAGGATCAGTCTCAGGACCGTGTGATGTGTCTCAGGATCAGTCTCAGGA